GTGACGTAGTGGTTACTGTGTCGAGTTTACACGCCAAAGTGTCATGGTTTGACTTCTGTTTTGGGTAAGGATAAGAACTATGTGAGGTCGAAGCTGCAGTCCGCCCTGGATGAAAACACCTTGTGGGAAAGCAAGTCTATGTAAATTTTAATGAAAAATATCAGCTCTACTTTTTTACTCGTGAAAAGTAAACACCATTCGTCTCTCAAGTTGGTATTCCCATCTAATCCTAGGGTACTGGGAGGATGTTCCTGTGTGTGTGTGTGTTTGCTGGTATCCCCGTGGTCAAGCATCTTACCAGTCACCACCCTTCAGGCGCAGATATAAAAAATGCACACAACAACTACGTGCATATATTGGGGGTCTATATCTGGCCCACCGATATATTAAGCCTTTAATTTCATATCCTGCGTCTCACAGGTCAACCCCATGGGTAAATTTTTAGCCAATTCCACGTTGAATCCTTTCAAAACAGCCGTCTTTTCTTGACTTACCGTTTTTTCTCATGGGCCGTTACTTGGTTATGCCTCCTGCAGCTGTTGAACAGTTGTCCTGAGGCCATGAGGCTTCTTTTTGATGTTTTCGCTGAATCTTTAAGTCTACTCAGGTTGTACACAAGATTATGATAAACTCTGTCCTCTTCCAATCTCCTGTTAATCAGATTTCTAGTAAAGAGGATGTCCACAGTCCCTCTGATCTTCCGTTTATTGGTGTTTTCCCAATATGTAGTCAGTTTTTCCATTAAATTCTAATCAATTGTGTGGCCGGTAATTGCGATGTGTTTAGCTATCTCTGATCTGTCCGTATCCATTTTTCTACATAGTCTCTGGCTTTCTTTGATCTCTGTGCTGATTGTTCTTTTCATCTCTTTTAGATATTTTTTGCTAACAGTCCTTGCAATCCATATTGTAAACTCCGGAGCACTCAATTTTGTTGAATTATTCATGTTGTGTGAGCCAGCTGAGGAAGAGGGTCGTCCTATCCTTCAGGATTGTACAAATGTTCCACTTCCCTAGTAGTGGCAGTAGCTTCCGATCCAATTTGCAGGAGGGTAGACATGTCAATCGTTTTTTCCTCTCTTCCACTTTCTTTCCTTTCATAATCTCCTTCATACTATTTGTTCATCATCATCCGTATGTTGCGTTGTATTCCTTTTTCTGGATATCCATTTTAAATACACATCTGAATAAGATTTTCCAGTTCCTCTTTCTTGAACTCAGAATCAGTGAGTCGTATGTTTCTTATGACCATACTCTGGAGTATTCCGATCTTTATCCCATAAGTTTGGTTTAACTGAAAGGTAAGAGTTATTCCAGCATGCGATTTCTTTTATAAAAGTCTTTTATTGAGATTTCCTAGGAGCGAATGAACTTCACATCCAAAAAGATAAGTACCCTTTCTTTTCTACATCATTTTCATTTATAAAGATAAGGAAATTAATTAATTTTTCTCTTCTATGCAACCAAATTGCGAAGTTATCATGTAACTATCTCATAATTACTATTGATCGCTAGGGTGACATTTTGAAATTCTCCTCCAACTTGTACATGAAGACATTAGGCAACATAAATGAGAGTAAGGAGCCAATAAGCAGACAAAATATTTGCTCCTAGATGTGGCCATTGACGTGAAATAGGTAATTCTTGTTTTTAGGTTGATTAATCAGGTTAGAGGCTCTATGCCTTTGCTCTGTCTCCAGGATATCATTTTCTTTTTTCCAGATTTCCATTAGTGTCTTGAGTTTTTTTTCCTTCTCTATTGTTAGTGTACATGGACTGTACATCAAAGTAATAAGAGATATGAAGACCATGATGGTGTAGCCCTCTATATAGTTTCAATCTTATTTCGATGTATATAAATGGGTTTGGTCTTGTTGTCAGGATGACCTTATTTGACACAACTTGTCCGAAGTATTCTGCCATAGTAGTTATCCTAATTTCTAGCGTCATACCATAGACTTAGTACCTTCTCAGCACCAAGGTACAACTCGTCAAAATGACAAATGGTGTCCAACCCCTGATCCAACTTTCAGCCTGAACTTTTACACAATCACTCTTCATATTGTGACGGTCCATCAATCTATTTCTTACCCTCTTATCCCACTCCCGCCATATCACAACTTCTGACTTGTTTATATTTCACTTATTTGCATATGTTCCACTCGTCAAAAAGCTTTGCCCTTTTATGGCATGCTTGGTGTGGTAAAGTAATTATAATCTAAGGCATGAAGATCAGGATTTTGTGACCTTTAGTATAGTCGTGATCTTATCTTGTCATATATAAGTGGTTTGACATTGTTTTCGCAACTTGGGTGCATTTTAAGTGTAACCTAGATGGACGCATCTTAACCAGAATACATAGTATTTATGCTCATGTGAAGAGTTTCATCGAGAACTTGATGCATTCCAAGCTAATTCGCTGGCATCGTAGTTGGTGACGTCAAAGAACCTTGTCACTCTTAGCACTACACTACAACGCGTCAGGAAGGCAAGTGATGTCAATCCATTGACCAATTGTCTACTGAACTGTTATGATATATCTAATTCTATCCTGATGCATAACTTATCTTATATACTCGTATAACCCCTTTACTATCAGTATTTCTCACTTGCCTATTTAAGCCTAGTTATGGAGTGCTCTTTTACGCGGAATTAGTGAGAATTGTTTATACTCACCGCTGGTATGCTTACCTTCTTCCGCTGCACTGGAAGTTTTTATTCAATTCCGCCTTTTTAGTCTGTATTTCTCTCCATTCAGGTCTTATCAACTTCCCTACTGCTCTGTAGGATCCGTCTTTTATCTCCCTTGTTCAGTGATTTCACGCAATCAGTATCACTACTGGAGGCGCTATGATGTACATTCTGTCTTGGGTCTTTGATAGTTCGCCTGTTATTAGCCAACTATATCTGGTATCCACCAATGTTTTCGTGATTCTTTTTATAATTCTAAGTCTTTGGCTTGACTATAACCTAGTCCCTTGTGCGCCAACCCTTAAATGGGATAATTGTTCTCCTTGGCTTAAGTATATTGTTAGGCTTCTTGTATTTTATGAATTTGAAAATACTATTCCTTCACTGTTAAGATTAATTTGGGAACAATTTTTCCTCCAATATTTGCATCTTTTGTGTTTTTTTCTTTTCATTGGATAAACCCTATAGTCTATTTCTCTATCTATTTAATTTACATAGCTATTTTTTAAAATTATATTAATTGCGTGCAGCACCTATACATTTGTGGAATAATGAGTACCACCCTATATTGTGTCAAAGAAGAATTGAAATATAGGAAGGATATTGATCCTCATTAAAGTATAGGCAAAACTATTAATTATTAGAAATTTAGTGAATGCTAAATAAATTGTTAACTATCACGAGCATCAAATGTTATTATTCTTAATCTGCTTTTATCTTTACTCTAAAAAGAGGGTTTTCCAATGTTATATTTAGTATATTTCGCTTAAGGTGATGAACAATTGGTACCTTGAGGAAAATTACTCCATGCTTATTTTCATAAACCCTGAGTTTGTGCTAGTTTTAAAAAGGTAGGCGCTTATACCTTGCATTTTAGGTTAATTCAAATTTTACGCAGGAAAGAATTACCTCTTAGTCGAGGTTATGCGTTTCAGACAAAACAACAAGGTGTGTTCCTCTAAGTCTTTCTACTAATATGATCTAGTTGCAAAAATAAGGTCAAACAACTTCTATTCAACGCAAATAGCAAAGGGTTTTTAAGGTTTTGTTGGAGGGTCAGTTGAATTTTAATGAATAAATTGTATAAGCTTTGTTATGCTATTCAAGTAAATCTAGCCTTTTTTCCCAGAAAGTTTACGAATCCAAATTAGAAATAGTTTGGGCATCTCTTCTGTCTCATCCGCTATCCCAGTGGGTTCCTAAACTACGCCAAGTGCATTAAGCGGTTTTTTAGTCTGCTATTCAACCACTCGTTCAGAGTTCACTATTATTTATGTTAATGTCCCGTCAGGGTAGTTTAACAATATTAGATTCTATAAAAGTTGTTTGACTTTGTTTTTGCAAGGTTCATATTGGTAGGAAGGCTTAGGAGAACGCACCTTTTCCGGAGTCCATAGTATGCATAATCATTTCCAAAGTCGGACCGTGGACGTGGTACATTCCCAGACATTTCGCCGGCATCGTATTCGGCATCGTCAGTGAGTTTTGTCATTCGTAGCACCATATTACAACACGTAAAACAGACAAGTAGAGCCGATCCTATAACAAAACATGTACCTCCCCTTCTGCCCTGGCCTATTCACATTTCCTTTATCCTCCTATCACGTCGTCACTGTCACAATTGTTTACTTGCTTAATTATATGTGGTACAGTGTGCCCTTTTGAGCGGCTTTCATAATAACCCTCCGCACTCCATGCTTACCTTCTCATTACCCTTTATCTTTGTGCTGGGAATGTTAATCATAGTCTGCCATATTGTTACGCAGTCCTCCTTCCATTGGTCTTACCACAGTGTCTCACTTGCCCAGTAAGATCCGTCTGCCCTCTCCCTGGTTCACATATTTCACTCGGCCCCCATCTGTGCCACTAGAGGCGTTATTCGCCCTCCATTGCGTCTGGGTGACTAATTCGAGGCTAAAGCCTCTAAGTAAGTCTCATTTTTAGACCTTTGCCACATGGACCACGTCTGTTATAAAACCTACTGTCAGCCCACTAGCTCCCATCACCGCCGCATCTATTCTGTTTTTATATCTAATACTAAGTCTATTACCTACCATGCCCTAGTCTCTTGTGTGCCAACCCACAAATGTTGTGAGATTGCTAAAAAATGGTACACCGTACCATATTTAATTAAGCAAGTAAGCAATTATAACAGTGAAGGCGTGATAGGAGGATATAGGAAATGCGAATAGGCCATGACAGAAGGGAAGATATCATAACTGTTAAGCACACGTTTAGTCAAAGGATCCTCTTTACTTGTCATTTTGACGAGTTGTAATAAGGTGCTATGAATGGCAAAACTCACTGACGATGTCGGTGAAACGT